TCTCTCTCTCTCTCTCTCTGCCCCCCCCTCTCTCTCCATCTCTCTGCCCCTCTCTCTCTCTTTCTCTTTCTCACTGTCCCTTTCTCTCTCTCTCTCTCCCTCTCTCTGCTCCTCTCTTTCTATCTCTTTTTCTGACCCTCTCTCTTTCTATCTCTCTTTATGCCGCCCCCCCCTCTCTCTCTCTCTTTATGCCCCTCTCTCTCTCTCTTTCTCTCTCTTTTTCTGACCCTCTCTCTTTCTATCTCTCTTTATGCCCCCCCCCCCCCTCCCCCCTCCTTCTCTCCCTCTCTCCCCCCCCCCCCCTCTCTCCCTCTCTCTGCCCCCCTCTTTCTATCTCTTTTTCTGATCCTCTCTCTTTCTATCTCTTTTTCTGACTCTCTCTCTTTCTATCTCTCTTTATGCCCCTCTCACGCTCTTTATGCCCCTCTCTCTTTATGCCTCCCCCCCCTCTCCCTCCCTCTCTCTCCCCCTCTCTTTCCCCCCCCCCCTCCCCCCTCCTTCTCTCCCTCTCTCCCCCCCCCCCCCCCTCTCTCTCCTTTCTCTCTCCCCCCCTCTCTCCCTCTCTCTGCTCCTCTCTTTCTCTCTCTCCCTCTCTCTGCCCCCCCCCCTCTCACGCTCTTTATGCCCCTCTCTCTCTTTCTCTTTCTCTCCCCCTCTCTCTGCCCCTCCCTCTCTCTCTCTCTTTTTTCCCCTCCCCCCCCCCCCCTCCCCCCTCCTTCTCTCCCTCTCTCCCCCCCCCTCTCTCCCTCTCTCTCTTTCTCTTTCTCTCTGTCCCTTTCTCTCTATCTCTCTCCCTCTCTCTGCTCCTCTCTTTCTCTCTCTTTTTCTGACCCTCTCTCTTTCTATCTCTCTTTATGCCCCCCCCCCCCCTCTCTCTCCTTTCTCTCTCCCCCCCTCTCTCCCTCTCTCTGCTCCTCTCTTTCTATCTCTCTCTTTCTCTTATCTCTCTCTTTCTCTTTCTCTCTGTCCCTTTCTCTCTATCTCTCTCCCTCTCTCTCTCTTTCTCTCTGCCTCTCTACCTCTACCTCTCTCTCTCTGCCTCTCTACCTCTACCTCTCTCTCTTTACCTCTCTACCTCTACCTCTCTCTCTCTCTCTGCCTCTCTACCTCTACCTCTCCACCTCTATCTCTCTCTGCCTCTCTACCTCTATCTCCCTCTGCCTCTCTACCTCTACCTCTCTCTGCTTCTCTACCTCTACCTCTACCTCTCTCTCTCTCTCTGCCTCTCTACCTCTACCTCTCTCTCTTTATCTCTCTACCTCTACCTCTTACTTTCTCTCTACCTCTACCTCTCACTTTCTCTCTCTACCTCTACCTCTCACTTTCTCTCTCTACCTCTACCTCTCACTTTCTCTCTTTACCTCTACCTCTCACTTTCTCTCTCTACCGCTACCTCTCACTTTCTCTCTCTACCTCTACCTCTCACTTTCTCTCTCTACCTCTACCTCTCACTTTCTCTCTCTACCTCTACCTCTCTTTCTCTCTGTATCTCTATCTCCCTCTTTCTCTCTCTACCTCTACCTCGCTCTTTCTCTCTCTACTTCTACCTCTCTCTTTCTCTCTCTACCTCTACCTCCCTCTTTCTCTACATCTACCTCTCTCTTTCTCTACATCTACCTCTCTCTTTCTCTCTCTACCTCTATCTCTCTCTTTCTCTCTCTACCTCTACCTCTCTCTTTCTCTCTCTACCTTTACTTCTCTCTCTACCTCTACTTCTCTGTCTCTCTACCTCTACTTCTCACTTTGTCTTTTTCTCTCTACCTCTACTTCTCTCTTTCTCTTTCTACCTCTACTTCATTTTTTCGCTGTACCTCTACCTCTCTTTTTCGTTCTACCTCTACCTCTCTCTCTCTCTCTCTAACTCTCTCTTTCCCTCACTACCTCTCTCTTTCCCTCTCTACCTCTCTTTCCCTTTCTATCTCTCTCTCACTCTCTTTCTTTCTCTTTTTCTCTCTCTTTTCATTGATTAGATCTAAGGACATACGGTCTATGTTGATCATGATGGATCCCTTTTCATGAGCACTGGCTTTCATACTACTGAAGAACCCTGCGACACCTTGCACAGCTGGACCAATATCAATCGGATGGTTGATTTCTCTATTTACAGAGAAAAATCTCTTCTTTCCTACTGCCTCGTATCTGAGCGATCGACGGTAACGTAGCATGGTATCCAACATCTACAGAAACAATGGACAAGTTAAGCTGATGTGTATTGTTATGTAAGTGATGACGTATACATAGCATGTGCAGTATATATTTTCACAAAAGATAAAATCGTCGTACTTTCCACCTCAATTACTTTGGAATCCCATAAATCATCAGCGAAAAATGTTGTCACGCCCTTAAAATAGGCTTGCCACGGACCTAATGCATCTAAGAACAAATAGCACCACAACAAAAGTATAGAAATCTTGTGACGTACCCGAAAGATCGTACTGGGAATCTTTTTATGAATATCAGTGCAATTGAGAGACTCCATTAGTTCCCGAAGTTTTCTGGATATACCTAGAGAAATCTGGACAGTGCACGACACAGGATCGTCATCATCTTCCTCCAAAGCAAGGATGACCTGGTGGTTATAAAAAATGCGAATCATCAACATCTTTACTTCATTTGATCTATCTATCTATCTATCTATCTCGTATTTGTGAGTGTGTATGTGCATTTCTGAGTGTGTGTGTGTGTGTGTGTGTGTGTGTGTGT